CGTCCATGATCATGCCAAGACGTTCCAGGATCGATCATCGCCGCTCTTGCACGTGGAGATGCTCTGTATCCGGTGCTTCCATTGACACATCCCCCATCGTGGACTTCTCACACGTGAGGCAATCCACGTGCTGTGGCACCTTTATCGAAGCGGCGTGTAGCAAATAGATGCATTCTTTTTTTGCTGGCTACTGACAAGTCTCCAGAGAGAGAAAGGCCTAGCTACCACGATACAAGCCAGTAGTAGTTTCGTCTCAAAGGTCCTATAGCTGATCGATAGTCTCCTTCAGAGCACATGTATGTTTCTAGTTATCTCGCTACATTGACACCACTCAGATCTTACTCAGTACATCGTGAGCATGCCACCAAGCCCTCAAACGTTTTCCAAACATGTACATCGGAATGACGGTCAAATATAAGGCGAGCTGGATACCGCCGATGGCGTTGAAGAATTTTCTGGGGCCCCAGGCGGCCACCCAGTCATTGAGGAAGACTGTTGAGCCATATTGTCAGTGTGTGTTGTTGGACTTGTCTTCAGCAGAGGGTGTAATATTGGACTTCATGCTTACAGGAGAACCCAAAAAACAAAAAGTTCTTAACGACCATAGAAATAATAAAGACCTCGACACTGATTTTTCGGTATGCGTCGACCATGTAGTTACCGATAGCGACCGCCAGGAACTGAAGGGCCGCAAGGACCAAAGCCCAAATAGCGGCCATTCCGGCGGCAGGCTTACCTTCCTCAATCATGCCACCAAACAAAAAGTATCCGAGGACTGATAGGATGGTCGAGGGGATCATGAGCGTTAGACGGAATTCTGGCTCGTAAATACCCTTGTTCTGGCGGCTGATGTACTTGGCGATAGGGTCAGCGATCCAGCCAGCCACAAGACACCCAAGGGTGCCTCCTACAACCGGTCCAGCTGATAAGTAGCCGAGTTCCTCCGTGTTGAGTAGATAAGGCGGGGCGCTGAAGATTTGAGCAACGACAAAACTAAACCCCACCAGCCACAATGTCGGGAAAGCAATTGAAATGACGGACCAAAGAACGGCCGGATTGAGGAGGATGAAGAACGGTCGGATGACCATTTTCAAGATCGACTCTTCATTGAATGTTCCTGTCACGGGTATCATGCGCTTGAGCAAAGAGTCTCGCTCGAACGTGTCGGCAATTGAAGGTGTAGCAGTAATCTCGAGATTTGCCGTCTCCTCAGTGCTGCCGGCCTGTGTTCGGTTGGCTTCGAGGTGTGCGCTATGTGCCTTAACCTCCTCAATTACTTCGATGTTCTGCTCAGAGGATCAGTGAGAGGTTGTGGACATGATTGAAGAGGTTCAACCGACATACCTCTTGGGAAGAGGTGTCAATTTCGTAGATCACATTGCGGTTGTAGGCTGTCTCCCAGCCGAAGAACACGACCCCAACCCATGCGGTGCCGAGGAAAATAGCCAGAAGCCAGAAAACCCAGCGCCAGCCCAGGTCGGTGGTGATTTGCCCAGCAAGCATGGCCGGCAGGTTCGCGATGCCTGAGTTCGCAGTTACGTAAATGGACATGCGAGAGCCTCGCTCGTGGACGTAGTAAAGGTCGCCTACGACAGAGAACATGACACTTTCGAACATAGCAACACCAAGACCTTGAACCACACGGGCACCAAGTAGTGACCCGTAGGAGTTGGCGGCACCGCCCCAGAGGGTACCGGCAAGGGCACATGTCGTGGAAAACAAAAGGCAGGGCCGTTTACCATACTTGCGAGCCAGCGAGGAGATGAATATGCCGACCGCGCCAGTTGCGCAAAGGCTGTAGCCGGTAAGCAGGGAAACCTGGGTGAAGCTGATCCCGAGGTCCTGGATCAGGATGAGGGCCATCGAGGAGAGGATTGGGCCGATTCTGCATCCCCGTTAGCACATGTCTTTCGCAAGAGCGGACGGCCTAACCCTCCAATGCACAATACAGTGGCATAGCAGTACAGTAGGAGAATAAGGTCCCGCTGCCACAGCGGCCAATTCAGCGGGTCATTGGGGTTGTTAGATGGCTGTGGCACGAGAAGGATATGGGAATTTTTCCCAGTGCCCCTTTTCAAGTGCGTTGACTGGTCTGCCCAGGCAACGTCGTGGGTATCGAGAAGATTGGTTCCTGGTACATGCTTCATGCCACTCCTGGGCTCGAGGATGCCGCATCCCATTTTGGAGTGCACTGGGTATAACTTGTGTTATGCAACGAAAAGTTTACTGTGAATTGGTCACCCAAAACCAGAGGCACACGTGTGATGTGATCGGCAGACGAAGACGACCTAAATCGCAAAATGACGGGCAACGCTTCTTCATATGTTTGGAATAATAGACTGCGAGGGAATTCTTGGTTCACGTCTCGTGGCGACGCTAGTGCCAGTATCCTGTTACCCCGGTTGTGGACCTGGAATCGGATGTGGGGAAATTAGTTGCCAAAACAGGATGACTTTGATGGGTATTTAATACCCATTTCTCTCATACCCGCCACGGAAGTATGCCTCCGTAAATGCTGCTACGGTGTGGGTAGTTTTACAGTTGGAAAACTAGACACTCTTTGTGGTCTGCCCTGAACTCTGGACCTTGGGTCAGCCGTCCAGAGGCTAGACTCTCGCGAGGTCCAGATGATGGGAAGAAGACTTAGATTCCTTTAGTTTCTGCATGTGATCGGCAGGCACTGGATTGGGAGGATCAAAGTCGACACACCTGATCAGCTGTCTGTGCGTGGGACACTTGGTGCTACGGAGGACTGTAGGAGAGGGGGAAAATGCTGTGATGGCGCTTTTTGTTGCGCGGAAGCACGTCGAATTGTTTACTATAGCCGTCTCTGAAAAGAGAAAAAGACCGTACGTAGCAGACCCTGATTGCCTAATGCGAGAGTGCCTGCCAACTAGACTTCATAGGCCGTCTACAAGATAGCCTATGAGTAATCTGGACATGTCCACCGAGCATGTCCTCGCATTCTTTGTGTTATCCTTCACAGAGAGCTATGTATTGGCCCCAAATGTCTTTCATTTCGATACCTGGCGGGAATCCTTTCCTTCTCTCTAACTGACAGGTCCCTCCGAGACACATATTAACCTGTCAAAGTTTCGACCAATCATGGTATAAAGCGTGGAGCGGATGGTGTCGAGGCTTTCGGCTTCCTCAGCTGTCTGCCGGGGTTTCTGTTGGTTTGTTTCCAACCAGTCAAGCGGACAAGATCCTTTCTAAATGGCCGTGCGGGGGCCCCGCCTGCATTGTTGCATCCAGGTAATGAATTTTGTGATCGTCTCGTTGCACACAACCACCCTTGTTTAGTGACCCCTTTTAATTCAGTAACACATCTGGAACCTGTATTTGAGTTTCGGTGATATGAGTGTGCATCACTTGTCCTTGTTTCCCATAAGAGCCTGGAACTCGGCAGCGCTAGTTCGAAGAGACTGCAGGAGCCAGCCCTTTCTCCTCGAACAGACTCTGCCAAATGGAGTCAAACATTAGTCCTCAGATTCCTTTGCGAACACAGGTCCTCATTGCCGGCGCGGGGCCTGTCGGCGCCTTTACTGCGTTGATATTGGCCCGCAGTGGGATCGAGGTCACTCTGGTCGAGGCCAATGCCGATATCGACAGCTCGCCTCGTGCAATGGCTTTCCAGCCCTGTGCACTATCGGAGATGGTTGAAGCCGGTGTGTACGATGAAGTGCTGGAACACAGTGTTAAGAATGCGGTCATCTCTTGGTGGCGGGCCGGCCTAGGCGTCGAAAAGGAGCACATAGCCACAATTGCAACTAAAGAAGGCGACGAGCCATTTCTGACCGGTCTGAACTGTGCGCAGTCTGTGGTGACCAGGATCTTACTTTCACATTTGGAGACAGAACCAGCCGCAACCATTCACTTTGGACATCGAGTGGTCGACGTGGTCGCAGAAACCAACGCGAAGGACGTGGTCGTGACACTCCAACAAACTACATCCAAATCAAGCGAGAAGATGCTCAAAATCGTCGCAAGCTGGCTCGTAGGCGCCGATGGAGGGCGCAGTACCGTCCGAGCAGCGGCCGACATCACGTTTGAGGGGTTCACATGGCCAAAAGAGGAGTTCGTGGCGACCAATGTTTATTACCCTTTTGAAAAGTACCAGTACACCAACCGCAACTTCATTATTGACCCGGTACATTGGGCCATTGTCGGAAAGATCAGTAACGACGGACTTTGGCGCGTAGCCTACGGGACGAGGCCAGGACAGACAGAGGCTCAGGTGCGAGCAGAGCTTCCGGAGCATTACAAGTACATCCTTCCCGGCCCGGGAACAGACTACCATGTGGAACAGGTAAACACATACCGGCCTCATCAACGTTGCGCTGCCACTTTCCGCAAAGGTCGCGTACTGCTTGTCGGAGACGCTGCGCATCTGAACAACCCAATCGGCGGCTTAGGTCTGACCACCGGCATCTTGGACGCAGGTCCGATGGCGAGAGCATTGACTGCTGTAATACGAAGAGGTGCACCAGAATCGTTACTTGACAGATGGAGTGAGCTGCGGCGAAATTCATGGTGGGAACAGACCAATCGACAGTCCATTGAGTTCAAACGCATCGCACAACAAGGGGGTTACGGATTGGATCCAAACGGAATCTGGGATGTTGACGAAGTGGCTGAAAAGCATGGTATGACGCAACATATCGCCCATGCAACCCCAGACATGAGAGAAAAAGATGAGGCGTTGTACGAAGCCCTTAAAGACCCTGCTAATCAGAGGGCTGCGAGGAGGCGGGTCTGGGGCCTAGCTTTACCGCCAGACTGGATGGCGGATTTTGAAGAGGCGGCGGTTGTAGAGCGCCGGCGCAAGCTGCGTCCCGAGTGACCTCGTGAGTATATTCTGACATGTCGGCTTATGAGGTTCCAATACAAGGGATCGACAACTTGGTGACCGTGTGAACGGTGGAAGAAGAAAGTCGTGGCGACCGGTGAGTGTGAATTCGGTAGTCAAAATTCTGCCAATAAGCGTAACCACTTCAACATTACTCCTGTTCTCGATCAACCCAACTCTTCTGACCTGTCGTTCCGCCGGCTTGGAGATTGCTGGAGTCTAATTTCCATCTTATGCAGCTGCTCAGCTCTTGTACTGGCGACTTAGGACATCATGTCAGCCATAGGACAGTGAAGGAGTTGGAAACAGTGGGGAGCTTACAGCCCCAAACCCATCCACTCTCCATCATTGAGCGCAGTGCGCCAAGCGGCGCAGCCGCGAAGTCCGCCCTTTGATAGGTCGGATCGTCCATCTCCTCCATGATCTCACGAACAGCCGACCGTAAAAATAGTGTATCTGGATCAGATCGTTGCTGCTTGATGGCTGCGGACATCCAGAACGCAAGTAAGATAGCTTTAAAGGTTAGACAAGCTAGCAGAGTGTACAGGATGTGGCATACCTCCTTCAAAACCAGCAACCACGTAGTGGAAGCCCATCTCCAGAGGGCCTACACGGGCAATATGCTTGAAACCCGCTTTGGCCCTAAGCAACAGGTGCGCAGCAGCAAATTTGGCAGCACGGCAAAGAGTGCTCCACTGCGTCTCCGTTCGTGGCATCAACATATCATGAAGAGCTTTGTCTGATGAGAGATCTGCCACTGGGGGCGACGGATTTATGAATTGTCGTTGAGTTGATGATAGTTGGGCTTGCATGAAAGGCAACTGGTTCCCCAATGTCTCGCAAAGACTTGCCTTGAGAAGCTTGAGCCTTCGAAAAGCATAAGTGTGGTAATAGGCTATCATCAGCAATGGAATGCAGTCGGACATAAGCGGATCTTCGTTGAAGTAGAGCGGATTTGTAGCACTCTTTGGGTGACTTTTCCATGTTCTCTCGCATGCCTGAAGGGACTTTTCCATATTTTCGACCCACGGTGCTTGATCGACATCTGCATCAAGATCAGGCAAGCGCATGGTGGTGGTGCGCTCCAGGGTGACAACGTGGATCACAAGACCGCTGATTAGCAACAGCAGGCCAAATGGGCTCACAGGAGCAGTGATCTGCGTACCCTGGAGAAGCATAGAAAGGGCTGGGTAAAATTCCAACTGGGCGAGAGGAGCCTCCTGGGCTTTTTTGAAATTGGTGTCCCAAGACTCTTCAGATTTTGCGACCCAGACATCCTGGGGACTTGGGAGAATCAGGTGGAACTCTTCCAAGTTCGGAAGAGGGATTGGAGTGGCTTGGCCATCTGCGAGGAAAGTTGCACAGAGCACCAAAACCCACAAGCTCGCCCTGAGTGCATCAGCAACATATAAGAATATACCATGAAGCAAGGTGCTACCTTCGATATGACTCAACCTGGATCCACTCATCCCAGGAATGATGCTTTATGTTCCTACGCATTCCAGATCGGAACATCTAGCACTCCCAATTAGCCGGCCGAGCCCAACAAGTGGTGTAACTTTCTGAGGATGGATTACATACTAACTCTGCCTTCAAAAGGTGGCTAAGACCGGCCTGATGGAGTACATTTGTGCCATGGCAGACGGCAAATTGAGCCAATAGCACATGAGTCTGCAATCTCCATACAAGTTCGACAGTATCGCAGTCGTCGAGATCGGTGGGGGCAATGTTATTTTCGTGCTATTGAACGAATAAGTACGGTACGAAGCGCGAGGGGAGGTTTCGAGTGTGTACCGCATTTAGCAGCTGACTGCTAACGTTGTACAGAGACATGGCAGTTTCTTGTTCGCCCGCGTACAAGGCGCCGATGGATAGGATACTAAGCGTTAATGGAGCTATCAGAATAAGTCAATATTCGGCCACCCTGGGGAAGGAAAAGAGTCACTAACGAGAAGTCCTTGCGGGTCGAAAAGTTGCAAAATGGATTAAAGGAGTGTGGGGGTCGAAATAGCGGACGTACGCCGTAAGATAACCACTGACTCTGTGTCTTGACGGCGGTACAAAATCATTTACGTCTGTTGTCAAGGCTGCAAAGGAGTGCACGCTAGCCATGAATTCGTTGATATCCATCTCCATGCTCGCCGGCGGAGAAAGCATACTCTCCATTCCGCTCTGGGACGAAAAGGTAGAGGCAGCGTCACCTACGTCCAATCTCGCCGCCGTGGCAGCGTCCGGCATTGCCTTTGGGCCCGGTGACGGTTGTACAGTTCGAGGAGGCGGGATTGGATGATGTGCTTCTAGAAATTGGAAGGGCGAGCTTAAAGCCATATTGAGATCAAGCTCAGAAACGTGAAAATATTCGTCGGCAGTGTTATCGGAAAGCCACAAGTCACGTCTATCGCCGAAGAAAGGATCGATAGAATGTGAGAAATTTCCCGTTGCCATATTTCCAGGCTCATCAGAGGCGGGGAGTCCCTCTGGAAGGTTGATGTCGTCCATATTCCCACCGGGTTGATTCTCACTCTGAGCGAGCGTTCTGCTAGCAGCCGCAAGCTGTTGAATGTCTCCACGATGCGAGCTGGCTGTGGACTCTACTGAAGCAAGGCGTGAGTCAAGAGGATCGGCGTCGTGGGATTCTCGTGTCTCTTGTGTCTCTCCCGGCTGATCGACAGGGATCTGATCTTGGCTGGCTGTGTTGCTGTCGTTCGATGACTTGGCCACTGCTTCCACAGGATTAGATCTCGTCGACAAGTCGGCGATGGCACAATTAGAAGTCTGCTGGTTGCTGTCTGACGATAGAGAAGGGTTATCTGCGGCTGGTGGCCGAACTGGGTGGAATTTGCGGACATGGCGCAGCAACGTATCACTCCGTGTGAACTTGCTCGAACATTGCTGGCAACCGTGTAGCCGTTCGTTCCTGTCTGGCAGAGACGGGCGAATTAGCCAGCGATTGCTCCGGGTCTGGAGCGGTAAACCGAACAGAGGCCACCGCACGATTGACTTACGTGACTGTTCATGGCGTTGTAAGTGTTCGCTGCGCGAAAACTCCTGCCCACATATTCCACACGTCCGCCTAGCTCTTGGCCGCCCGTGAAATTTGGATCTTAGGCGTAGCGTATCGTGGTCAGACCTCTGGGAGAGCGGTTCTAGGGGCGACGCCAACTCGCGAGCTGGGTGTTGCCCAAATTGAGCGTGGTGCAGACTCTCGGATGCAGCCATCGAGGCGAATGCAGGCGACTCTTGCCGGCAACGACATAGACACCGAAACGAGGCTGAGTTATTGAATGTCGAAGACCGATGACACGAAGACAGAAGAGGTGTTTTGTGAAGGATTGTTATGGGTTGGTTGCGCAACGGATGGAGAAAGGCAGCCGGAACCCGGATTTACGGAGATTGTGGGGTTTCGGGGAAGCATGCAAACTGTTACAAACAGAGCCAGTAATGCATAGAGTGCCAAGCGTCCCTAATGCTTACCGACACGACACGGGTCATCCTACGAGACAGTATGCATTTGGCAGCTATTGGACATCTGACTATCGAGTACGCTAAGCCGGCTGCCCGCCACGGCTTCAAAATTTCTGGAACTTGGCTTCTTTCAGTCGCTCTGGAGACTGAATGCGCCTGCAGATGTCCCTCCATCATTCGGCAACCCCCCCAGGAAGTCCACCTTGAGGACCTGCAGATCGTTCTCTATGATCTCCTTCGCAGCCTCACGGCTGACGAATGGCTCCAAGTCATGCTCGCAGTCGATGTATCTGCCCCTTAATGAATCTTTGACCCTACCTGTCGCTACAAAAACACAAACTGCCGCGCACAAATTTACAGCCGTTCGGTAGCTTTTGAGCCGCTTTGGTCGGTTTGTTGCCAGATGCGGATACGCCCCCGCAATCACTGGATCCATGGGACCTGGTCGCTGATAGTCAGTAATGACGATGTCAAGCGAGGAGGAGTGACGCACGATTGGACAACCTGGTCAAAACAGCACCTGGGTGACAGCAGTATAGCTGGATCTTGTCCCCAAGACCGTCCGCGTCGAGATCTTTCTGGATATTCTCGGTTGCTTTGATTACACTGGCCTTGGAAATCGAGTAGCCAGCAAGATATGGCACAGACACAGTCCCAGCACGCGACGCAAGATTGATGATGCAGCCATTGCCGCGAGCTTTCATGCTGGGAAGGACGTTAAGCATCGTCAGAAGCACCTATGCATAAAAGGTCAGTTCGACTGTGCCAGAGAATCATGGGACCACCTACTCCTCCGAGATTGATCTCTATCTCTCGCCAGATGGAAGCGAACGAGTCGAGGAGAATGGGTCTAGAAGTACAGACCCCGGCGGCATTGATGAGGATATCAATATCTCCGAGCTGTTCCTTTACATCCTTGATCAGTCCTTGCACCTCAGTTTCATTGCTTATGTTGCACGCAAACGGAACCACTTTCGCTCCATGTTCTCGGCATAGTGCCACCGTTGATTCCAGCTTGTCGAGCGTAATATCCGTCACCGCGAGAGTGGCGCCGGCCATGGCAAAATGTTTGGAGATCTGCTGTGCAATGTCTCCCCCCGCTCCGGTGATGAGTGCAAGCTTTCCTTTGTGTGCATCTTTGAAATTCTTTGGTGATATGAAAGGGTAAATGTCTGGGTAGACTTTTGGTGGATCGTGTGGCATGGTGCGCAGAGTTGCAAATGCTGATGGCTGGCAGAGGAATGGCGTTATCAGCTCTACAAGGAGTCCTCACCGAAAGTGCCTCTCTTCTATAATCAATTCTCGGGTTTCACAACGATTTCAACAAAGCCTCGGCGGCCTAACGTTACTTCTCTACATCTCGCACCACATCAACGAGAAGTACCCGCCCCCACCTCGCCAGGCACGCCCCCGCTCCAGTTTCGATGAGTTGTGAAATGTTCTCCACAGCCCACTCGCCAACATCCGGCGGGGTTGGTAGGCGACATGAAAAGCAGGCTGGACTTTGACCCTTCGATTGGGGCTCTAATCAGGGAACTTTGGGCTAAATCAACATCCTTGTTTACACATTCACCATGGCCAATGTGAAGGACGAGACGCGCGAGTTGGCGACATTTCTATCCCAGCTTACCTACGAGCAGCTACCTAAGGAAGTTGTCGACATTGCAAAGGTGTCAATCCTGAACATCATCGGCTGCGCAATAGGTTCCTCAGACGCCTCACCCCGGCGCAAAGCCATTGCAGCGTTACTACCTGATAAAGTATTGGAGAGTCCGTCGGCAGCAGATGCAGCCACTATCTGGGGCCGCCCAGAGCGTACAGACGTTGAGACGGCGACAATTCTCAATGGAATAGCTGCCACCGCCCGAGACTATGATGACACCCTGCTTCGAACTGTCATCCACCCCTCTTGTACCGCTATCACGGCCGTGCTACCATGGGCGGAAGTCCATCACTTGTCCGGCAAGGAACTGATCCTGGGATTCGTGGCAGCGTTCGAGACCCAGGCTGCGGTCGCGAATGCAATTTCTCCATCCCACTATGACAATGGCTGGCGAGTGACATGCACATGTGAGGGGTTTCAGGGACTGACTCGGACTCAGGCATATTACTGGCTCAACCGGGGCTTTCAGTGCCGCCGCAGGCATTTCGAAGCTCCTACGACTCACTCCGGACCAATTTGCTGCAGCGCTGGGCCATGCATCAAGCATGGCTTCAGGGATACGTGCCATGTTCGGCACCGACACCAAAGCACTGCACGTAGGCCATCACGGGCGTAACGGTATCGTGGCAGGCAAGCTTGCCAAGCACAACTTCGGTAGCTGTCCTGCGTCCATAGAAGCTTGGGCACGTCTCGTGTCTACCACGGTCGACACGAGTCTCATCGGTCACCTGGCTAGGGGCGGACCGTGGCAAATCTTGACCAACGCATTCAAGCCATACCCTTGCGGTATCGTGATCCACCCGCTCATCGACGCCTGCCTCGAGGTCTTCAGATCGTTTTCTCTCAAAGACAGTGCTAAGGCTAAGGAAGGGCCTCAAGACCTGAACGACCTGGCCGAGATCCAAGTCACTGCGAATCCACAGCTTGTGAGGCTGTGCAACGTACGACATCCCCGCACTGGGCTAGAAACCATCTTCTCCTTGTATCATGGTTGCGCCGTCGCTCTAGTCTACGGCCGGGCCACGCCAGCCGAGTTTTCGGATGAAGTGGCAGCGAACGTTCCTCTCGTTCACATTATCAGAGACCGTATTTCGGTCCAGACGGATTCCAAGTTACGTGACGACGAAGCTTACCTAACTTTCAGGTCGTCTACGAGGGCGGATAGCCTCAAGACAGTCTACATCAAGCATGCCACGGGCTCGATAGGGAACCCTATGTCTCAGGCTGAGTTGGAAGAGAAATTCTTCGACCAAACGGAGAAGTATCTGGGCAAGGAGAAGGCTAGAAAAATAGTGGAGACTTGCAGAAATTTGGATTCGGTAGTGGATGCTCGCGACTTTGCTAAGTTGCTTTCTACATCACAATGATGCATATGCTAGAATCATCGCTAGAACATCCTTGGGTCACCTGGGATAAGACTACCATAGAACAACTTGAAACCCATCCTTGTCTTGGGCTTTTCTTGAAGTTGGTCTTAGTTGTCGATACCTTGCGGTCTATTGAACTTAACTGAGTCTCACAACTACTGCGTATCTTTTGGCATTTGACATCCCATGGCTCAGGCTCGAAGGCCTTTTGCCCTTCCACGCGATGCGCAACTATTTACTTTATTTATCACAGGGTATGGTATTGATTGCCCATCTCTGCTCGAGAACCACAAGCACAGCGTCCGTGGCAGCTTCAGGTGATACACTAAAATCAAAGGCGGTAACAACGTTGCACTTCATGGCTACGAAACTCATGTACCTAATACCATCGGTCCTAATACTTCGTCTCTTGCTTGTAATCAATGTGAGACAACTCCAGTCCCGTCGCCTGAGCTTCCTCCCAGTCTCGACGCAGCACCTCAGCGTGATGCGGGCTCCGCGGACGGATATCTAATTCACCACGATGTCAGCACATGGAACAACTGCCCATATAATATGCAGGCGAGTGTTTCGATTCGACTCACCACAAACGAAAGGTTTCGCAATGGCCATCCCGCCCGGTAGATAGCCAGTCGTGAAACTTGGGTCGACGGGGATCTCGCGACCGTTCTCGTCCTTTGCGAGTCGTAGGTTGAATCCCCACATCAGACGGGCGATGTTGATGAACAGACTCCTTTCTGCGACGTGCATTCCGGGACAAATGCGGCGCCCGCCGCCATAGGCATAGTGGTCTCGCATGTTTGGGTCTGCTACTGTGGTCGCCTCTGCCGCGGATAAAGGGTGGTTGAAGAAGCGCATCGGCTCGTACTGGACAGAAAGAAAGCAAAAGTCATTGCAATTAGCACCGGATTGCACTCCTGGTCATACTGCTCTTCAACGTGGATCTCTTTTCTTACCTTTTCCGGTTCGGGGAAGCGCTTCGGGTTGTGATGAATGCCCCACGTGTTGATCATGACCACGCTGCCCTGTGGGATGAAGTATCCTTTGTACCAACCATCTTGCATGGCGTAGTGGTTCGTTCCGAACTTGTTTATGGACCTCCAACGCATGAGCTCCTTCACCATGGCCCTGATGTATGGCAACTTCTCCTCGTCTTCGAAGGTCGGGGTTCTGTCGTTGCCGATGACCCGGTCCAACTCCTCATGGGCGCGTTGTTGAACCTCTTTTCCGCGTGACAGCACGCCCACGATCAAATTGTTGAGTTGGATGCTGGTCGTCTCCGCACCGGCTTCGATCATGGTGCCCAACACGTATGCCGCTTGGAGCTCGTCAATGCCCTTCTTCTGCCATTCGCTGGTCATGAAGGCTTTGCCGAAACTGTGAGGGGCTGTCCCCTGGTCGATCTCTGCCTGCATTCGACGCCAGAAGTACATCCATACCTCCGAGTCTTTACGGTGGATCTCCGCTCCGAAACTCCTCCAGTTGCTCACGAGGTCGAAAATTCGATAGTTTGCGAGTGCTGGGAAGCTGTCTACCAGCCAATTCCCAGGACGTCGGATGTGGCCAAATCTTTGGAGGACCTCGAAAATCTTCATGAGGTCCGGATGTTCCCCTGCGCTAAAAGTAAGGACTAGATTCAAAAAAGGTATTATTCAAGCACACGTACATTGTGGGAGGCGCTGGCCATAAGTGATCTGCATGATCAGGCTAGACGTATACCGGCGGTTATGCATATAGGTATCTGCAAAGAAAATATCGGGTCAGAATGACGGTCGCATCAGTGCAGGTCTAAGGCCAAAAAAGCCAACCTTTAGGATTGTCCAGGATATCGACTGAGAGTTGTTTTGCTTCGTACAACTGTGCGGGAGCGTAGGACTTGGACATATTCGGAGTCAGAAGACGATGAATAATGGTTCGAATGGTCCTCCAGCGGTTTCCATGCGGCATGTTGACGACTCTGCGCCCTCCGCTCGCTGATTCAGAAGCCATTGGTAACGGTGGGCGGCTCGAGTAAATGACGCTCTTGCGGTCGATGATCTCCTTCACAGCCTCGGGAGAGTTGAGCCAGATGAAATCGGTGGCGCCCACTCTGGTACGGTATATTTCGCCATACTGGCGCGCCCACTTGATAGCGTTAGTGATGCCATCGTCTTTCATGTGATAGAAAGAGTGGTTGATGATGGGGAATGCTGGGGGCGCCGGCGGCATGTGTTTGCGGCGTGGATCCGAGAGAAGGGTCGTCCCAAGGTATACGAGAAAAACAAGGATCAGGACCACCAGGGCCAGGTAGACATTCTGATACTGAGCGCTATGGATGACTCTTAATAGCAGCTGAGAAACATCTTCGACACTGATGGCTGCTGATTCGGCCATTCTTCCCGAAGCTGGACTGATCTATGGGAGAGAAGGGTACCAGGATTGAGTGACGGCTTGGGTTCTGCACATTAGATAGACTTATCTAGTTACGTGAGATTTCCTCCGAGGGCTATTTAGCTATCACAATTAAGAGCCGTAGTAATCTCGTATTCCAGGTCTAAAAATCCCTAATGCAATATGCTATAGGACTTGGCCGGGGTCTTGCACCCCGCCTCAGCCTTAAGGTCACACCCCCGCTTAAGGTCCAGGCGGGGCGTCCTGTAGAAGTGGGGTGGTCAGTGGAATCGAAAACGTTGTGCATCTTGCCAGCTAAATGATCTCGGCATGGTATTGGGTTGGCTTGAGTCCATGTGACCATGTTCGATTCGAGATCAGGTCTAAATGGTGAACACCTGCAGGCTCCCCTTGCTGAATGGACGAATCCAAGAGGACAATAATAAACACTACTCTTATGAATTCTCCGCTGCCAGGTGCCAATTTCTGGGTTGAGAACGGCGGAGACCAAGCGGGGGTTATATAGATTACGGACCTTGGGAACCTGTGGGGTGGTGCAGAGGAACTTTCAGTGTGGATGGTATAAAGCAGAGGAATATCTTTTGCCGCACCAGATCTCGAAGTTGTTGACAGCCAGATAGACCGTTCCAGTCAGACCTTCTACGTGGCTCTGATACTCCCAAATGTCTAATACTACTGTGATCACGCCTCAGCCCCTCGAGCCTGATGATAAAATGCAAAAGTTGGGTGGATCGGAGCATGTCGACCTCTGCGATCTGCCCGAGGATGAGAAGCATCCTAGC